AGTTCTACCTTTCAAACTGTTTGTTTCCATTTTTTTTTTTAAATTCTATGCTCCAGGCCGGGTTGCGACAATAGATTTAAAAATTGATGCCAAGTAGGACATTCTTGGGAGCACCGGTCCTTGTGATGTATGAGCTTTGATTGTTTATGAGAAGGACAAATGACGATGTATGCACATTAATAGCAAGATAGTGAGCAAGATCTCGATTAACTACCACTTTTTCATTTCTTGATTACTTGTTAGATCGATTGTGTGGAACTAGTATCTTCGCCTTGATTGATTTATGCAGTTTTCATGGCCCATCACAACCTTATTCACTAGTTGGCATATGTTGTAACAAAGGCGGGTGTGATTTCGTTGACTGAATAGCATCGATTGTGTGGAACAAGTATCTTCGCCTTGATTGATTTATGCAGTTTTCGTTGCCCATCACAACCTTATTCACTAGTTGGCATATGCTGTAACAAAGGCGGGTGTGATTTCGTTGACTGAATACAAATCAACACCCATTATGATATTCTACTCATTAGGGTAGAGTGAGAGATACACTCATTTAGTTTAATCTACATTAATCCCAAACATCCAAGTGATCCGGTCATTGGATGCCGAGATAGGTGAGATTACTGCAATCTTGGAATGGCTGTTAATAGTAATTAGTTGATTAAATTAATAGCAATTAAGTTATTGATTTGTTTTATTAAATAAGTCACTAATAATTTATGTATACTGCCATGTATCAATTTGATCGGGATAAAATGTAGACTTTTATAAAAATAGTTTGGATGAATTTTCGGGAGCGTAAAAATCGGGCTATATTTGAAATAGAAAAAAATTCACTTGATTTAATCCAATTTGGGTATTACGCATGCTGGGTAGATTATCTCTGCTTGCCAAGTAGACCATTTTTCGTGAAAATTCATGATCGCAAACTTATCAGATCTTCATTTAGGTGGTTAACATTTTGCTCATATTCACCCATAAGCTAGTAGCAGTTTATTATTTGCTTTTTGTTTAAATTTTTGTTAATAAGAGCAAAGCATAAATAAGCCAATAGAGTTTCGTAATTGAAAATTTATTTCACGATCAAAAATATTAATTAGTGTAAAGGCTGGTGCTGATAGGATTTCTTGAAGCAGATAGTAGTTCCGTTTTCAGGGGGAAAATATCTTGGCAGCCTTATGTAGTATTCACTCTCTTTTCTAAAAAATGGTTATAAAATAATAAGAAATTTGTTGTGGGGGCAAGGACTTAAAAATCTACCTATTTGTCGCCTTGTGTTATTTTTAAAGAGGCACTCATGCCAAGGTGCATCATCTGATGTTGACGACCTTGCTAATATATTTCTAGAATTGGCTTTTGATCTTCTCAAATATTTATTATAGTTTATATATGTGATTAGATTCCTATCATATCTTACAACTGTGATTATTTTGAGTAATTATAGAAAATTAGTTTTAAAAGGAGATTACGTAAATTGCCCTACGCATGACTCTAAGGCGCTCATTCTGTGGCACCGTAATAATTGAACCATCTTGGGTTTAATCTAAAGCCTAATCAGCGCGATTGTTTTGCTAGAGGACTAGGTGAGTGCACAGAGCATCTTACATAACACTAAATTTTGGCATCTTGTATGCTATGAGCATTGTAAAGTTTACTTTATCACTTGAGGGATGTCAATATGAACTCTAGCGAATGTTATGGCTAATTGGTTCTATGTAGGTGACATAATGTATAGTACAACATTTTGCTTAAGTGTATTATTGTGAAACATCTTAAGAAGAATGAAGCTGAACTGTTAAACATTGTGGCGCTTTTTGGTGTAATGGTTGAAATTTCGACAAAAAACTTTAGAGTTAAGTGTGCTTATGTGTGATCACTTTTTGGATGGGCGACATCTTGGGAATTTAATACTAAGGGGACAAAATCATGAGGCTGTTAGGCTAAAGCCTCTCAGTAGGTGAGAGTTTGAGCTATTTTAAATGATATCAAAGCATTACACAAACTTGAAGATAGAAACTAAGTGCCATACAGAACCAAGTGCTACACCATGGGAGCCATCACTTGAACTCACATTGGGACAAAGTGCTACATGGTGGGAGCCTTCTCTTGAATTTGCAGGTGCCATCTATTGAATCTATTGGGGCCTCTAGAATCCTATCTGCTTGGTGGAGGATTCTGTGCTATGAGCATTGATGGAGAAGTCGGTTAGTTAAGTTGGAGAGATTATGAAAACTCTTAGGTAGAAGAAAGCTGAACTCTTAAACATCGATGCACATTTTATTGTAATGGTTGGAGTTTCAATAGAAACTTTGAAGTTTACGTGCTCATGTGGGAGCACTTCTAGGATGAGTGTCCTGGGAAGTTTACACCATGGGGATAAAATCGTGAGGTCGTTAGGCAAAGGCGAACAATATCTCGATGGGTGAGAGTTCAAACTATTACACTTGAGAACTTCAAAGTTTAACACTACTTACATTTATGGCAACAATTTCCATAAATAAATGTCAATTAAGCTGTTTGTCTACTAAGTTGGTATTTTTTACTGCTATTGTGGTTAATCATTCCTCTATGATGCAATTCCAAAACAAGAAAATTTCATAGAAGTAATACTCAACTTTTGCCCTTTCACGAAGTATCCATCATGAATACTAAAACCTTTCCAAGAAAATTGAATCATTCAAGTTAGGCAAAAGCAGCCCAAAACATTTCATTTAATTATATTTACAGAGCGTCTAAAACACTAAAAAATTTTAAACGAAAAAATATAAATTTTATCTGATATCATATCTTTAATTTTCTCTACTGTGTGGTAAGTTCAACAAGATAAACAAATCTATTACAAAACTAAAATACCCAATAAAACAACCAACACGGGTGATATTCTTGAACAAATATAATTGTAAAATTGATTATAGATGATTAGTTTGTTATTATAGTAATAAATATTAAACTTTGTTTATATGAAAATTTATATTTAAATACTGGCACATGTAATAGCAACGTTGCATGGATAATTGTTCTCAATATACTGTGTCAGTTAATTAGTTTATTAATTACACATGATTTAATTACCTCAACTTTTTTTTGCAAATTTATTATTTTCTTAATTATATTTCACTTACCTTTAGAATGAACATGTATGGTTACCTAGGTTTATTGGTTATCATAAGGTAGTAAGTTGTGAACTTATACAATATAATTTAGAGTATAAACTCGCCAAATGTTTTATATCTTCAAGTTCAATTTATGTAGGTGAAATTCAGCATTATTTTTTTGGGATGTATTGAAAGCCCTTGTTCTCTATTGGGGTCTTTTTGCCACTGATGAACAAATATATTAAATATATCACTGTTAACATATTTCGTCTGACATGGCTTATTTTTAGCTCAACGCGTTTTTATTATGAACATTTAAATAAGCTCTCAAATTTTTTTTAATAATGCTAAATTGTTTTTTATGTAAATGAGAAATGTACTGATATTAGAAGCTTTTGTTTAATAATGTCATCGACTAATGTAATGTTTGTATATTAAAATGCATTTAATTGTGAGCTTGTTTTAACAAAGTTTTCATGGGATTATTTTTGCATGAGTAGTATGTAGTAAAAATGAATTTGTCAAGAATTTTCACTATATTGCATCATTTTTATTTACGTGTAATTATTCCTGTGTAAATAAATATCACTTAATGCATTGGAGTTATATTTCTCAACGATTTGACAATTTACCCATTGAAATTGAATTCGCTAAAATATCTCCTTTTTACAAAGAATATAAAAATTACAAATATCCAATCAATAGCATATCGTAACTTATAGTTTTATTTCAAATCAAATGATACCCACCTACATTATTGCCTCAAAGAAACTCTTCGTAAACACATTTATATATCAAAATGATTGTTTCAAAGTGTATAATTCGGTTGAATTATGTTTAATGATTTTTTGAAAAAAATAAAATAAAATTTTGGTTATAATTTATTTAAAGTATTTTGGTTTTTTGCCTTATTAAAAATTGGGTATATAATTCTTCTGTTCTTTCCCAGAAAATTGCCTTGTTCATAATTTTTCGAGCTGATGAGAGAATTCTATCTTATAGTTTGCTGTTTTTTTCTTGGTTAGTTCTTCATTTTGCTTTCAAAAATCAAATTTATTTATTTCTTAGCTTTTTGAGATGAAAATTCAATATTTTTATGGTTTTTCTTTTATGTTAGACCTTTTTTTTTATTTTGATGTTATTTTTTGATATCGCTTGATATGCATTTATAACTCAGTATTTAGCATTGTTACATGCAAAACATTATGCACAGTCGACATCTGTGTGCAATGGTAACCCATAAGCAACCTTTTCAGCTCTCTTTGTATCTTCAAATGGTTTTGTTATATTTTGGAATTAGTTTCCTTCATTGGCCAAATCTTAATGTACTTATTGGTTTAACGTACAAAAATAGAAGGGCACAGACTTTAAATTCTATAGTTTTATGTTTTGTGATCATATATTTTTGTTGATGCATTAATCTGTCTCTCCCTATGCATATGGATATTTTTTTTTTTCAAAAATGCTAGAACAATTTTAGTGGTATGCAAAATTTTGGGACTTTTTGGGTTTAGATTTTGAAAAAACTATGAATTTTATATTTAGTTCCTCTTTTTTAGGGCTGAATGATGGAGCACCTACATTTGTAAACTTTGGGACTTTTTGCGTTTAGATTTTGAAAAAACTATGAATTTTATAATTAGTTTCTCTTTTTTAGGGCTGAATGATGGAGCACCTACATTTCCTGTGCTTTTGGTATTCGAAGTGCATAGTGCTGCTATGACTATTTTACTTTCAAATGAAGCATTATTTATTTTGTTGTCTTTTGTTTGCTTGTAATAGGTCTTACATTTTGATTCGAAACATTTTTAGTTGATTTGTAATAGAAGGTCTTACATTTTGATTCGAAACATTTTTAGTTGAATTGAAAACTTTTTAGTTTCAGCATATAGTTTTTTATTTCAGGCTTTGGAATTTCTTGAAATAATTCAGTTTAAGCCTCCTGACATTGCCTTGAGATATCCCCAATTTTTTCTGGATATGAAGTATCATACTCAGGTGAGTATTGTTTTGTTATCCTTCTTTTTTTTGTTCTCGATGATTGAGGATAGTTTTGTTAGGTGGAAGACATACTTAGTAATCCTTCAACATCCGAGATGGGTGGTGTCTATTATTATTCAGAGCGAGGCGATAGATTAATTGATCTTGATGCATTTCATGACAGGCTTTGGCAGGTCTAGTTTCTTCTGTTCATTTTATGCAACTACAAAGATAAAAATTTTGATTTTTAATTTAATTTTCGATGCTAGTTTGCATACTTGGTAGCAATGATGATTTTTTTCAAATTCTTGTATTGTTAGATGCTTAAAGTTTCTGCCCCGCAAGCAATATCCCATCTTAATGAAGCAGAGAAGGGTGGCATGAGAGAAGCTACTCAGCAATTACTGAGGTGGGCATGGAAACACAACAAAAATCTTGAAGAACAAGCGGCCCAGCTTCATATGTTGACTGGTTGGTCTCACATAATTGAGGTCGATGTTTTCTACCTTTTTGCTTTTTGCGTACTTCTCAATGATATCATGGTTTAGTTTGGTATTTCTTGTTTGGTGATTGGTTGCTTATTTGTTCTATGTGAATTTGCCTTCACTATCTTTCAGGTTTCTATATCCAGAAAAATGTTATTTATTAAAGATCATTATCAAGTATTAATCGAGTAAGCTTTTCAACTAACTTTTGAATTTCCTTTCTCTTGAGCAATGCATGATGTGCTCTCGGTAATTTCAGGTTGCTTGACGCTTCATTGAGTGCATCTGCTTCACCAGATTGTTCTTTAAAAATGGCAATGATACTAAGTCATGTGAGTCTTCTTTTGTTCCTTTATGCCAACCTGTTCCATATCTTTCCATTGAGTTAATTTCCTCTTTTTTTCCTGCTTTCTATGGTGCTAGGTGGCACTGACTTGTATGGCTAAACTACGAGATGAAAGGTTCTTGTGCCCTGGAGATTCAGATTCCGATGGTGTCACATGCCTTGATATCGTTTCCGTTAAGCAACTGCCAAATGGAGCTTGTCATTCTATACTTTTTAAGCTAATGATGGCTATTCTTAGGAATGAATCATCTGAAGCATTAAGAACCATGTGAGTCTTCTTTTGTTCCTTTATGACAACCTGTTCCATATCTTTTCATTGAGTTAATTTCCTCTTTTTTTGCTGCTTTCTATGGTGCTAGGTGGCACTGACTTGTATGGCTAAACTACGAGATGAAAGGTTCTTGTGCCCTGGAGATTCAGATTCCGATGGTGTCACATGCCTTGATATCGTTTCCGTTAAGCAACTGCCAAATGGAGCTTGTCATTCTATACTTTTTAAGCTAATGATGGCTATTCTTAGGAATGAATCATCTGAAGCATTAAGAAGACGGTACTTTAATAGATTACTGAGGCCTGCTCTGGGCATGACAAAATAGGGAATAGTGTAATTTTTCTTTCTTTTTTTTTTTTTGCTTTCTAATTATGTTAAAATGTTTTTATTGCAGTCAGTATGCATTACTCCTTATTTACTTTCAGTACTGCCGGAGTATTCTTGATCCTGAAATCCCAGCTTCAGTATTGGACTTTTTGCTTCGTGAAGAACAGGGAGAAGATGAGCTAAATTTGCAAAAGGTTTAACATTTTTTGTTTATCTTTCTACAAGTAATATCTGATAATTATGGATTCTCATTAATTCCGTCACTTTTTTCTAAGATTGACAAGGAACAAACAGACCTTGCTAGAGCTAATTTTGCAATTCTAAAGGATGAGGCTCAAGCTGTCATTGATGTGGTATGCTTTTCACTTTGTCCCTACTTTTTATGGGTGTTAGCAAAAGAAGTTGAATTTGTGAATTTTGTCCCATTTGCTATAAATTTATTAATTGGATTCTATCTATATTTCTTGTATTTATGTGATTTTTATTCTTATTGTTGAAGTTGATTTCCTAACATTGCCATTGCCGGTCCCAAGCCAGGATTTGAAAAGTGAAGGATTGCGTTAGGTAGTCGACAACCAGCGTAAAACTTGTCGAAAAAAATCATGACATGAATTCTTCTGAATTTTGTGTGACTTCCAGTTGTTGGATAGCTTGAATACAATGATAAGTGTGCAAAAGCTGCTACATCTGCGTCCGGGTGTAGTGTCAAATAAGTTAGAGTTCACACATTACTAACGGATGCAGATAAAGAAGTTAGTCTGTAAAACTAATGAAATTAATAATAGGATAGTATCTTAGAAGATAGGTACTCTCAATGGTAAATTAATGAAATTAGTTGATATTATGATTCATAGAAAATTATGATTCATAGAAAAATTAATATCTTATGAATTCAAGAAACTAAATGGGTTGGAGAAAAGGCTAAGGAGATTGATAACTAAGGCTTTAAATTTGGTATACTGGTAAGCATCGCACTAGAAATGATGTAGGTGTAATTATAGATTAAGGCTTTAAATTTGGTATTCTGGTAAGCATCACACTAGAAATGATGTAGGTGTAATTATAGATTAGAGTTTGAAAGATAATGTTGTAAAAATTATTAGAGTTGGAGATAGAATTTTAACCCTTAAGATTATCATTGATACTAAGATTTTTAATATTATAAGTGCTTATGCTCCTCAATTAGGTGATATATGATCTAAAAATAAAATTTGGAATGACTTAGAAGACTTAATATAAATGATTCCTCTTGCAGAAAGAATTTTTTTCTAAGGAGATTTAAATGGACATGTCGTTAGAGTTGTAGAAGATTTTAGAAATATTTATGGTGACTACGACTTTGGAGTGAATAATGAAGAGGGTAGAATTATTTTAGATTTTATTTTTTCGTATGATTTTGTTATTACTATTACTTTATTCTATGAAAGAGATGAGCATCTTCTTACTTATTAAAATGGATCTAATAAAACACAATTTGATTATTTTCTTATCAGAAAAAGTTATCATCGAGATTGATAAGGTTGTAAAGTTATTCAAAGTGAGGATTTAAGTACCAAACATCATTTATTAGTTCTAGATTTTAGGATGAAGAGTTGTGAAATAAAAAAAATACTAGGAATCATCATCGTTGAATTAGATGTGGGAATCTAAAAGACAAATAAAATTATTTTTGTGTAAAATTCAAGATTTTAAAATTTGGGATGTTCATGATGAGACAAATGCTATGTGGGAAATACTATTAAACAAGTAACAAAAGATGTACTTCAAGCATCAAAAGAAAAATTTTCTATAAATAAAAATAGTTGGTGGTGGAATAATAATGTACAAGAAAAGATAAAAATTATAAGAAGTTATGTTATAAAATATGGTTTAAATGTAAAAACTTAGAGTGTCTAAAACAAAAGCTTAGAGTGTCTAAAAGAACAATATGTGACGCTAAAGCTTCTGTTTTTAATGGTATTTATAATAAATTAGATACTAATGAGGGTGAAAAATATATGTATAAACTTGCTAAATAAAGAGAAAAAAAAGTAAAGATTTAACTCAAGTAAAAGTGTATTAAATATGAAAATCAAAAAGTACTTTTCTTCGAAAAAGATATTCAACATAGGTGGGTGGGTTATTTTGATAAACTTTTTAATAAAAATTTTGAAAATGCGATCGATTTTAGTGATCTTAATATCGTTAAAATATGGTTTAAATGTGAAAGCTTAGAGAACTGAGAAAAATATCAAACGGCCCGTAGAGTGTCTAAAAGCACAATATGTGACGCTAAAAATTCTGCTTTTAATGATGTTTTTAATATACTAATATACTTAGGTACTATGGAGGGTGAAAATATATGTATAAACTTGCAAAATAAAGAGGAAAAAAAGTAAAGATTTAACTCAAGTAAAGTGAATTAATATACTTAGTTACTAAGGAGGGTGAAAATATATGTATAAACTTACAAAAATAAAGAGAAAAAAAGTAAAGATTTAACTCAAGTAAAGTGAATTAAATATGAAATTCAAAAATTACTTTTCTTAGAAAAAAGATATTCAACATAGGTGGGTGAGTTATTTTGATAAACTTTTTAATGAAGTTTTTGAAAATACGATCGGCCTTAGTGATCTTAATATCGTTAATAATAATAAAACTTTTCGTGTTTACCGTCACATTAGTAAAAAAGAAATTGAGGCGGCTTTAAAGAAAACCAAGGGTTGACAGTCTGTAGGACTTCATGATATCCCAATTGAAATATGAAAATATTTAGGAGATTTGAGAGTTTCTTGACTTACTAAACTCTTTATTATTATTTTAAAAACTTTAAAGATGCCTGAGGAGTGGAAGAGTATTTTGGTCCCATTTTTAAGAATATAGAGGATTCGTAGGAGTGTGAAAATTATAAAGGAATTAAGTTGATGTATTATACTTTAAAATTATGGGAGAGGGTAATTGAACATAGGGTAAGATGCATTACAAAGTTTTCTCATAATCAATTTGGATTTATGTCAGACAGGTCTACTATGGTAGCTATACATTTATTGAGAGGTTTGATGGAGAAGCTCAAAGATAATAAGAAGAATCTAAATTTGATTTTTATTGTTTTAGAAAAATCTTACGATAAGGTTCCAAGAGATATCCTTTGGAGAGTTCTTGAGAAGAAAGGTGTTGATATGACTTATATTGAAGTCATTAAAGATATGTATACTATAGTTGTTACTTCTATTCAAACTGAAGGAGGATTGACCAAATATTTTTCTATTTCTGTTGGATTACATCAAGGATCGACTTTAAGCCCATATCTTTTAGCTTGTAGAGGAGGATGTGCCTTGGTGTATGCTTTTTTCTGATGATATCCTTCTTGTGGATAAGACTAGAGAAAGAATTCAAGAAAAACTTGAATTATAAAGGTTTACATTGGAGCCTAAAGGCCTTTGTTTGAGTAGACCTTCATTTGAGAAGAGTAAATTTGAATACATGGAAGGCAATTTTAGTAGTAGTAGCTCTGGTGATCAAATTATTAAAATGTGTTAAAGATTTTTATATCTTGGGTATGTTGTTGAAAGCGATGGTGATATAGATGAGGATGT